CGATGACAAATGGCGCCTCCTCCAGAGTCACAATAGACAGGTGATCGTCCCGCTCCGCCACGTCGGAGTACAGCTCAAAGCGAGGGCCACACGTGATACCTCATCGTCAGAATGCCTCGCTCCCACTTCCCGACCTGGGCGGAGAGCCGTGTGATGTAAAGACTACTTTTAAGTGGCAGGAAGACACTTTTAGAACAGAAAGACATGCCAGACACGTCACACACGTTGGATTAGAGGAAGACATTTACCCTGTCCCACTGTCTATCCTTGTCTAGAAGTATGATGACCAGCTTAGGGAACATCTGGTGGCCTTTCTCACTAAACGACAGGTTTCGGCCCTCAAATGTCACATTCATGACGGTACCTGAAACAGAGAATTAAAGCTTTAGTCACAAAAGTCCTTTTTTTTCTTTCTTCTCTGAAAATGTGCTAAAGCCCCCCCCAAAATATCTCACTGTTGTTCACTCATGAATTAATGCCAAGATGCCTTGCTACAACAGAAAATTATCAACCACAAAAATCCATATTTTATAAGATATGGGTCAGGACAGCATCATGTTTATTTAAAATGTGGGTTTAGGAGGACCTCAGAGCATTGATAGGATCTGATGAAATCTGTAGGAAGTAACCCCAATCCATAGAGAATCTTCCTCCTAACCCCGGGTTTTCCACGGGAGCCCGTCAGCAGCACGTTACTGCAGCAGCACGTCTTGCTCGCGTAAGCTGCTGCTTGGCCCTTCCCACGAGACGCGAAGCAGCAGGGGAGCAGCTGTCACCGACAGAGCACGAAGTCACACGAGTGACTTCGTCAGTAAACACAACAACAAGCAGGAGAAAAATTACAACATGGTTCGAGTGACTTCGTCAGTAAACACAACAACAAGCAGGAGAAAATTACAACATGGTTTGTGTTTTATGTTCTGTCCGTTTTATAATCGCCAATGCGGACCTGAAAAACAAAGGAGACCGCTAGCTAGGTGATAACTTCTCACGGGAACGCACAGTTAGTAACATTTTTTAAAAGTAAAGCAACTGGAAGGCAGCACGTTCTTTATTCTGAAAATCTCGGTAGCTTCTCTCCATTTCTGCGTCCGATTTCCTTTCTTTCCTTCCCCAAAAATGTCGAACTTGACCCGTTTCAGAGGCGTCGCACGTAGAAAATAGAACCGGCGCGTAAAGGCCGCGACATGCTGCTCCTGAGACGCGGCCGACTCATGCTGCTGACGGCTCCAGTGGAAAAGGTTCTGTTGACCACAGCGGTTCCTATCAGCAGCTATGACGTGCTGCTGCAGTAACGTGCTGCTGACGGCTTCTGTGGAAAGAAGGGGTTATCCACAGGGCTGCAAGGATCGCTGACATCCCAGAATCCACAGGGCACCTTCGGATGTCCTGATTAGAGTCCAGCACTGCGATCTAGCTCACAATGCTCTAGTGGGTCTGAAAACCAAACCACTGGTCTCAGGGGTCCTTTTCTGTAGCCTCGCTCTTAACATGTCACACAAACTCATTCCGATAATCTGACAGTAAAACATAGGAAATATTTATCAAGCTCACAATTCCAAAGAATGACTTTCCAATAAATAGAAGAAATGTGGATTCTGAAGCTAAAGCCTGGTAGGCGTGTACTGGTGTGAATGTGTTTGTCCTCATATGGACATCTCTGTAGGACGTCCACTGACCTGATGTCCAGAGCCAGCCCAGAGCAGCAGCATTGCCAACAACCCAACAACAATAACAGTTACCCCAAAATTCCACTACCTCCGCTCCGCTCCGGCACGAACTCCGCAGCAAAAACGGTCCCATTGTAGTCAATCAGAGCTGTTCCACTACTGCGGCCGTGCGGCGCAGTGCGCCGCCCTCCGTTCCGCCATCCGGCAAAAATAGGATCGATTCTATTTTTGCCGGACGCCGGAGCACCTCCGCAGTCAATGGACAGGAATCACAACCGCCCAACAGGAAAAGGAGCAAGCACAGCTTCCGTTTTTTCACAATAAATCGATAAACAAAAAGCGTTTTTTGTTTCATATGCACAGGTTTAACAACTTTTATAACAACTATCAATGGCGGCTGAACTTTAAATGCACAAAAGTAAGCCATAAATACAGTTTCTACTATCAAAGTAGTCACACTTTGATCCAAACACTGCTGATCTCTCAACACAAATGATGGGCAGATTAAACAGTTCATTTCGATGCTTCTCCCACACAACGGGTGTTTGGATATAATTTCCGCGTTCATTGCTCGGACTGTATCGCAATATCTCGAAAATCCTGTTTGCGCACCTCAGGTCTCCGCACCGGAGCGGAGCCGTAGTAGAGGGGGTACCAGTAAAAATTGAGTTCGGAAGCGAGCGGCTGCGCAAGGCGGGGGCGGAGCGGAGGTAGTGGAATTTTGGGGTTAAAGCTGCAAGCAGCATCATTCATCCCTTGCTCGGGACCACATTGGCCTAATGTCGCGACCATGAACAGGCAGTGAGTTGGATTAAGGACACTCCCATGAAATTTCATGCAGATGAGATGATAATTGAGGAAATTAGAAGCAAACATATTTCTATGGCACTATGTCCTTTTTCACTATGCCCCCAAAGCACCGCCCTATTTTTGAACCCACCTGTACTGGACACCAAGTGACCCCGACATGTCTGCTGCTATTTGCCGTAGATTCATGTTGATTTGGTCAAAGAAGGGAAATTGGGAGCTTTGAAAATAAAGCATGGCGTGGAGGGAGGTCAATGTTTGAGGCTTAGCCACACCCACACCGTTCAACTTTCGAAAAGTCAGTAAGTTACATTTTTTCCTCATGTCTTAAGAGTGTATAGTAGAAATTTGAAGGCGATAGCGAGGGGGCGAGGGAGGTTAGTGTACCTTCAACAAAAGAACACAAAATGTGGAACTTGAACCAAAATGGCTGACTTCCTGAGGCTTGGAGAGCATGGCTCCAAGTAACTTTTTTGTAGGTCCCGAGACACTACATAAGTGTACAAAAGTTCGTAATCCTCATTGAAAACATGGCTTGGGGTTGATAGTTTTAATCGTCCTAGGGAGTGCTTTTTCAGAAAATAGGCCACGCCTAGATTTTCCAAAAGATTTAGGGCAGACAAGAACCAGAACCAGTGATAACCCTACCATACATCAGAGGCATAACAGAAAAAATAAGAGCAACAATGAAAAAAAAAACAACATAAACACATCAACAAAACCATACAGAACAGGTAGAAACAGACTAGTGCACCCAAAAGACAAAATATCAGCCGGACATAAATGTGGAGTCATTTGCGAAATCCCATGCAAACTCTGCAATAAAACAAACATGGGGAAACCGGACGCCAACTCTACACACGAACAATAGAACATAGAAAGGAGCGCGAGAAAGAGGCAAGTCGAAAACACACAAGAGCAGCAAAAGAAGAAGCAGAAAGCACAATAAAGAAGTCAGCCGTAACAGATCACTGCATAAGAGAAAACCAGGTAATGGACTGGGACAACACAAGAATCATAAACACCGAACAACAAAAATACAAAAGATGGATTAAAGAAGCATTCGAGATAAGGAGACATGGATGTGGGACCATGAACAGGGACAATGGAGTTTACACATTGGACCGCGCATGGGACTGCATCGTCGGAGAGGCGAGAGCGGGCAGTAGAGGGCGACAATGACCTCTGCTGCCTGCGGATAAACGGAGAAGGAAGTGATGCGCCACCATCAGCGTCAGCCTGAGGAAGTCTGCAGCCGCCGGCGAAACGTAGCGGGAAAACAGGTAACGAAACCGTTTCTGTGTTTTAAAAAGCACGACAGCATGGAACTAGAACTAATACACAGCAAGAACACACCTAAGATCTTGCTGAAGTGTTCACCCTCTTTTCATTTTCTGGTAAATGGCAGTAGATTTAATCCAGAATGCCTTACATATCTCCATTTATCCGGCCTTCAATACAGGGGTGGATTGGCCATCTGGTCTATCGTTGCCCAATGTGGGCTGGTCTGGTACAACATCCCCTCCAGTAACCTGACCAGCGGCACAGTGAGCTGTCCGAGAGCAGCAGCATCCCCCCTTTGCTCTGATGGCTGGTGACACTGAGATGTGTCCATGCAACACGTTCTCACACTCGAAGGGGCTAAAACTGACACGGATGCAAAACTTTGTTTCTAGTTTTATCGTCTGTCTCAAACACGGTTAACGAGAAGTTTAGAATGAGAAACTGGGTTAAGGTTAGCATGGGGGTGAGGGGAAGGTTAAATAGCAAGAGGTTAGAGGTTAAATGTCAGTGAAATGTACGTTTTCCTGTGGGCTTCGGAAACCGCTTGGTCACCTTTCGTCAGTTTTAGCCACTTTCGGTGTGAGTACGTGCTGATCCATGAGTACCAACCCGCCCTTCATCCCAGGGTTGGATTTCTCATCCCAGTCCAAGGCCTGCTTCAATAACATGAAGTCTGTCAGAACCCCTTGCTGAAAATTGCCCCCACACTGTTGGTGTGGTGTTGTTGTGGGGGGGTGGGGGTGGGAGGGTGGGTGCCATTTCTTCTCCAAACATGGCTCGTAAAATGACACAGAACATTCTATTTTGGTTTATCTGACCATACTATAGTCTCCCAGTAATCCACAGGCTTCTCTAAATTCCGTTTCACAATCTTTAACCGAGCATCGCACGCAAGAGTCTTGCACGTTGAGCGTGCATGCCGCCATGGTGGTTCAGTGCCTTTCTTATAGCTTTCTTTGAAACAACCGTACCTGCTCATACAAGGTCTTCCTGAAGTTCTGCCTGAGTGGTTCTTGGCTCTTAGAGAACTCTCCTGATTATTCTTTGGACTCCTCAGGAAGGGATCTTACGTAGAGCACCTGATCGTGGTGAACTGATGCTCTTTCTATTTTTGGATAATAGTGCTCACAGTAACATTCAGCATTCTGGAAATGTGCATGTAACCATTCCCATCACAATGCTTTTCAATGGTAAGACGCTTTTACCCATCACGAAGTCTTTCCCGTGGGCCTCCTGGGTAATGAGAAGCATTTGTAGGCCATCAATTAGGACTAACGGAGCTGATATCGATTAGCACCGATAACAGGTTTTCTCTCTGAATACTGACAGATTCCAGCTGATCTCCTGACTTTCTATCCCATCTTGCAC